TGATTTTATTATAATGCTGATTTTATTATAATGTATTGCTGGGACTTGTAGTCCTGCATAGCTGATGGTATTCTGCATTTCTGTATAATCATTAAACAGCGAAGCAGAATAGCACCAACTATGCAGGACTACAAGTCCCAGCAATACATTATAGTATTAAGTAGGGATGCACCGGTGCCAATACTGCGTATTTTCACGAGTGCGAGTAAAATGCCCCGATATTAAGTGCAGATACCGGTGTTCTGTTGAAAACACTGACCTAGTCGAATTTGCCGACCTCAGTATCTGCGCTTGCGCACAGACCAGTATTATCGAGGAAACAAGGATTTATTGAAAAAGTATTTCGCTTAAATCGTTAATTGTGACTGTTAATAATATGCCATCCATCATTTACTGCCATGCATGGTATATTATTAACGCTCACAATTAACAATTACAAACAAATACTTTGTAAATAAATGCCGGTTTCCTCGTTAATCCCGTCTGTGCGCAAGCACAGATACTGGGTTGGTGTTCTCGACAGAACACCGACACTACATTTTTAAACCGAAGCGGCTGCCTGAGGTCCCACGCTTGCTGGGGACCTCGGCAACCTTCCTGTTAACCACACGGTGCCTGTGTATAGTGCCTTCCCATGGCGGTGGGGGGTTGGGGGGACCTTCATGGCTTTTTGCACAGGGGCCCTAAAGTTTGTAGTTACGCCTTTGGTTTCAGGGCTATGTAGGGTCCCCTTCATCAAGCTCATACTGAGCTTGATGAAGGGGACCCTATGTGGCCCCAAAACATTGTTTCATCTGTGATAATATGCATCAATAATGATGTTCATTTGGGCGTATTTCTACAGTGTACTGGTGAAATCTTGTTCTTCTGTTTAGCTAGGCCTGGAGCCAGGAAGGGGAAATGAGTGGAAGGCCTACAGTACAAGGATGGGAAGGGGAACCAGGACAAGAAGGGGTTAAGGAAAGGTAGAAACGTAAGGTAGGGTAGAGGGGCACTTGGGGATTGGCCGAAAGAGATCGGCCAGGAGGTGGTTCGGCGGGAGGTCTGCAAGGGGTATTTACATGGATCCAGTTGGAGATCGGCAGATGAGAGGAGGATTGTATTGTAGTCACGGCAGTTGCTTGTCGGTTTGGATCCTCGAAGCCGTTTTTGTCTGCTGGGGTTTTTGATAAATTAATGGGGGGACTTTATGCTGCATAATTCAAGATTCTCTCTTCACCTCAGCCCTTGGCAACCATCTGCTCTTGTAAAGGATATAGTGTAGTCATGTAGAACTAGATGGAAAAATGTTCCCAGGCAAACAGTTAAATAAAAACCATGAAATACATACTGTATACGGTGCATGTTTTACCTGCCAAAAGGATTTGTATTGATGTCTATCCAATCCTGAGACTTGCACATCTCTGCCACATAGCACAGCCCTGCCTGACAAGGGTGTGCACCTGATCTTTCTCTGCTGCAGTTTAACTATCACTTACAGGTCTCCTCCAGGCTGTGACTAGACTGTGAAAAGAGATGCAACCAGGGGTGTCCGCATAATGAGGCAGCCTCAGATGGTGTCTCATTGGGGGGGGTGGCAGAACGGTTAACTAACACCACACACACCCCACTTCCCCTGCTGAGAGATTGGCCGCCCACCACCTCCTGATCAGCTGGCTGACAACTCCACCCATCTCAGCCTCCTTCTCCATGGTTATGGCTGTTGGGTAACTTGTGCCCCCCTTCCCCTCCCACCTTGTTACCAGAGAGCCTGGGCAGCTACTAAATGGCTGGAACACCTAGATTTCATTGCATGGCTAATGCTAATGAATCAGTTGAAGGGACTTTAGAGCTTTAGAACATCTCATGGTTCTGAACAGAGGAGGCAAAAGGCTGTGTGGAGAAAAACTGACCTGCTTAGGTTCCAGATTTCAATAATAACCTTACCCTTATCTTTCTTTCTATATTTTGAGGAAGGAGAGCCTTAAAATGGCAGTGAAATATCTGATGGTCATCAGAGAGAAAATGAGGGAGACGCTCAGACTCCTGGAGACTTTGAGATCTTGGAACCATATCACCCAACAATCTGGCCTGTTTGCCTACATTGGATTAACCCGTAAGTGACTTTCAAAATGTGGGGCAAATCTTCTTCCGGGTTATAAATTGGAATTGTGTTTTTCATTGATGTTCATTTTATTTTTTCTGACAGAGGACCAAGTGGATTTTCTGGCTAAGAGAAATCATATTTATTTACCCGAAACTGGACAAATAAACATCTCGGACCTTAATGCGGATAACCTAAATTATGTCATGCAGTGTATAAGTGATGTGACTCTGAATGATGTAAGGTAATGCTTCTTTTAAATCCCATTCTCCTTTCAAACTCCCTCTTCCCTTCCTGATCCCCAGTTCCAGTACAAACAATAAAAATAGTCCAACGGTTTTCTCATTTGTCCTTGCCTGTTTGCTCCTACAGGTATGTAGTAGATAATATACACTGCCTGGCCAAAAAAGTCACAGACTCTAAAATGTCATTGGACCAGCTTTAGCTTTGATTACAGCACACATTTGCTGTGGCAGTGTTTCGATAAGCTTATGCAATGTCACAACATTTATTTCCATCCGGAGTTGCTTTATTTTTCACCAAGATCTTGTAAGGATGATGGGAGAGTCGGACCACTGCGTAAAGTCTTCTCCAGCCCATCCCAAAGATTCTCAATGGGTTAAGGTCTGGACTCTGTGCTGGCCAATCCATGTGTGACAATGATGTCTCATGCTCCCTGAACCATTCTTTCACAATCTGAGCCCGATGTATCCTGACATTGTCATCTTGGAATATGCCCAATGTGCCATCAGGGAAGCAAAAAATCCATTGATGGAAAAACCTGATCATTCAGTATCTTCAGGTAGGCAGCTGACCTCATGTATTTGGGGACATAACATATGAAACACATTAATCACTGCAGTAATTAACCAATGGAAGGCTCTTACCTATTTAATTAGCTAAATCCAGCAGGTGACTTTTTTTTTTTTTTTGGCCTGGCAGTGTTCCTTAGGATAGGGCCATATATATAACAATGAACAACCAGAAAATAGTAATATATTTTTATTCAGGAACACAAAGAATGGATAATGACCAACCAGCATATAGTACATCATAAATGTCTCACTAGGAGAAATAAACAGAAAACAACGGTAGAAGAGCGACACATCTAAAGAACGAAGTACAACCAGTACAAATGAGTCCCAAATTAGTAAATGAAAAGTATTAGACATGCGTGATTCATTTCTTTCCAAATTTTCCGAAATTGGGACACATCCAAATATCCGAATCCCAATGCATCCGAATGCGTCCGAATCCGAATTTACATTTTTGAATTTCGGATGCCGTCCAAATTTTGTTCAAAAACTAAACTAAATCGAGCATGTGACTTTTCTGGCAAATCAGATGTGTTTTTCGGTTTAATGCGTCTAAATCCGAATTTTCGTTACGGTAACATGGGAGCCATATGCAGTATATACATATAATACTAAAGCTGAGGCTCCTAGACTTGAACGGGATTTGGGTTTTGAATTTCTGAATTGCATTCGGGTGCTCCCGAATGCCATTCGGGTCTGGGAGCCTCAGCTTTAGTAATATATGTATATGGCTCCCAGACCCGAAGAGCATTCGGCATCCAAATTTCCGAATTACATTTGGGAGCTCCCGAATGCCATTCTGGTCTGGGAGCCTCAGCTTTAGTATTAATACCTGTATATGGTTTTCTGTGGTATTCACAACGAATATTCGTAAACTCATCTGAATTGAACAAAAGTTCGGATTTCGTCCGAATCCGAAACCCAAACCGAATTAAATTTCAAACACGAATCCTGAATAAACAAAATATCCGAACCAAACCAAATTTTTCTGCAGCTTACATGTCTAAAGGCTATCTACTGTTAATAGTGGCCTATCTTGATGAATTGCTTCAGTGCCGTTTTGACATTTTCATTTCTAAAGCTGTACACTATGGGGTTAAGCATGGGGATAGCATACACATAGAGTGTAGTTAGTACTTTGCCTTGCCTCAGTGAAACCGCTGATGTTGGTCTCATATATAGTACAAAGATAGTAATATAGAAAAAGCTCACCGTGGTGAGATGAGAAGCACAAGTAGAGAACGTCTTGTACTTTCCCTTTGATATCTGGATCATCAATATGGTGGATATGATATTAATATAAGATATCAGAGTGAGAAAAAATGATGTCATAACTAACAACACTCATTGAATAAGTATAATTGTCGTATTGCTGCATGCAAGGTTTATAAGGGCGGTGACGTCACAAAAGAAATGGTTGATCATGTCGGAGTCACAATACTCCAAGGTAGTGGTAATTGTTGCAATTGGGATTGAAGCCACTAAGCCACCCAACCAGGAACCCATAGCCCCATACAAACACGCCTGCTTGCTCATGATCAGTGTGTAATGTAGAGGCTTACATATGGCCACATAGCGATCAAAAGACATCACAGTCAATAGGAAATATTCAGTGCTTCCAAAAGCAATAAAGAAGTAAAGCTGAATCATACATCCCACATAAGAGATTCTCCCTCCCTGGGTGATGGTGATACCAATCAGCTGTGGACATGTGGTGGATGTGTAGAGGACATCAAGGGACGAGAGGTTACACAAGAAGAAGTACATGGGGCTGCTGAGTGAGGGGCTCCAGCATATTAGGATGGTTAGAACTGTATTTCCAGCTAGCGTGAAAATATAAACACAAAGAAAACACAATAGCAGCGGAGTTCTTAAATTCGGGAAGTCAGAAAACCCGATAATTAAAAATTCCATTATCCTGGTGTTGTTTCCATAATCCATTTGATTCACCGGAGTCATAACGTTCTACATTTCCATCAACAGAGAACAAATATAAATATATATTGATTAATTTTTAGAAATGTTTTCATACAATGAGGCAAATAGCCGAATTTAAAGAGACAATGTTATTTTTTTTCCATTCAGGGCAGAGTGAACATGCCTGCTGATAGTTTCCCCCTCCTCCAGCAAGGTATACCCACTGATCTATGCTCATTGCTGGAGAAGTCCATCCAGGGTCAGTTATGGTGTCGGATAGAGTGCGAGATTACCCTGTTACATGGCATCACCAACCCTCTTCCCCCACACTCCCAGGTTACAGTGGTCAGGCCTGTTAACTGGCCACTTAAGTCCAAGCATGGGCAAAGTGACAGTGTCTATTTAAGGCCCAACTCCACAAAATGTTTCTTTTTTTATTTTTGCTTTGGGGGGAGTAGGAAAGGGTTCGAACCATTATTAGGACTTTATTAGTTGCAAAAAACAAATCTGTTGGATGGGGCTCGCTGACGTGATTTTCCAGTTGTGCTGGAGCTGTATATACTCGTGCTGGAGCTGTATATACCTGTGCTGGAGCTGTATATACTCGTGCTGGAGCTGTATATACCTGTGCTGGAGCTGTATATACTCGTGCTGGAGCTGTATATACCTGTGCTGGAGCTGTATATACTCGTGCTGGAGCTGTATATACCTGTGCTGGAGCTGTATATACTCGTGCTGGAGCTGTATATACCTGTGCTGGAGCTGTATATACTCGTGCTGGAGCTGTATATACCTGTGCTGGAGCTGTATATACTCGTGCTGGAGCTGTATATACCTGTGCTGGAGCTGTATATACTCGTGCTGGAGCTGTATATACCTGTGCTGGAGCTGTATATACTCGTGCTGGAGCTGTATATACCTGTGCTGGAGCTGTATATACTCGTGCTGGAGCTGTATATACCTGTGCTGGAGCTGTATATACTCGTGCTGGAGCTGTATATACCTGTGCTGGAGCTGTATATACTCGTGCTGGAGCTGTATATACCTGTGCTGGAGCTGTATATACTCGTGCTGGAGCTGTATATACCTGTGCTGGAGCTGTATATACTCGTGCTGGAGCTGTATATACCTGTGCTGGAGCTGTATATACTCGTGCTGGAGCTGTATATACCTGTGCTGGAGCTGTATATACTCGTGCTGGAGCTGTATATACCTGTGCTGGAGCTGTATATACTCGTGCTGGAGCTGTATATACCTGTGCTGGAGCTGTATATACTCGTGCTGGAGCTGTATATACCTGTGCTGGAGCTGTATATACTCGTGCTGGAGCTGTATATACCTGTGCTGGAGCTGTATATACTCGTGCTGGAGCTGTATATACCTGTGCTGGAGCTGTATATACTCGTGCTGGAGCTGTATATACCTGTGCTGGAGCTGTATATACTCGTGCTGGAGCTGTATATACCTGTGCTGGAGCTGTATATACTCGTGCTGGAGCTGTATATACCTGTGCTGGAGCTGTATATACTCGTGCTGGAGCTGTATATACCTGTGCTGGAGCTGTATATACTCGTGCTGGAGCTGTATATACCTGTGCTGGAGCTGTATATACTCGTGCTGGAGCTGTATATACCTGTGCTGGAGCTGTATATACTCGTGCTGGAGCTGTATATACCTGTGCTGGAGCTGTATATACTCGTGCTGGAGCTGTATATACCTGTGCTGGAGCTGTATATACTCGTGCTGGAGCTGTATATACCTGTGCTGGAGCTGTATATACTCGTGCTGGAGCTGTATATACCTGTGCTGGAGCTGTATATACTCGTGCTGGAGCTGTATATACCTGTGCTGGAGCTGTATATACTCGTGCTGGAGCTGTATATACCTGTGCTGGAGCTGTATATACTCGTGCTGGAGCTGTATATACCTGTGCTGGAGCTGTATATACTCGTGCTGGAGCTGTATATACCTGTGCTGGAGCTGTATATACTCGTGCTGGAGCTGTATATACCTGTGCTGGAGCTGTATATACTCGTGCTGGAGCTGTATATACCTGTGCTGGAGCTGTATATACTCGTGCTGGAGCTGTATATACCTGTGCTGGAGCTGTATATACTCGTGCTGGAGCTGTATATACCTGTGCTGGAGCTGTATATACTCGTGCTGGAGCTGTATATACCTGTGCTGGAGCTGTATATACTCGTGCTGGAGCTGTATATACCTGTGCTGGAGCTGTATATACTCGTGCTGGAGCTGTATATACCTGTGCTGGAGCTGTATATACTCGTGCTGGAGCTGTATATACCTGTGCTGGAGCTGTATATACTCGTGCTGGAGCTGTATATACCTGTGCTGGAGCTGTATATACTCGTGCTGGAGCTGTATATACCTGTGCTGGAGCTGTATATACTCGTGCTGGAGCTGTATATACCCGTGCTGGAGCTGTATATACTCGTGCTGGAGCTTTATATACCTGTGCTGGAGCTGTATATACCCGTGCTGGTGCTGTATATACTCATGCTGGTGCTGTATATACTCATGCTGGAGCTGTATATACCCGTGCTGGTGCTGTATATACTCATGCTGGAGCTGTATATACTCGTGCTGGAGCTGCATATACTCATGCAGTTACAACACAATGTGAGTGCACTCTGTTATTTTTTTAAAATGTTATTTAAAAAAAAAAGGGTTTTACATTGCATTAGATGTGATG